TGAAGCAGCCCTTTCCTGGAAACCTTCCTACATCTACCAAGTGAGGTCAAGTTCCTTTGTCTTTGGGCTCCATGAAATTGTTTCTTTCCTTCAGAACATTTATCTCAATTGTAATTAAACCTCAATTAGTGGGATGATTTGATTAATGACTGCCACCCCACTAGGCTGTAAGCAACATGAGAACAGTGGCTGTGTCTAGTTTTGCTCACAATGGTGCTATCTCTAGCACCTGTCCCAGTACTGACATATATTAAATGTACAATAAATAACTGCTGGATGACTCAATCAATGAACTAGTGAACATCAAATGCCTAAATGTACCAAGCACTGTACTCAATCCTGGGATACAAAGATAATTAAGAGTGGATCTCTACTCTCAAGGAGTTCAGAGTCAGGGGGCAAAGACATCAACAAAAGTTCAAAGGGTACCGAGTGGTGGGATTGATTTTCAACGTCTGCCATGGACACAGAGTTGGAGGAATAATACTGAGTGCTGTGGCACTCTATCTTGACACTTAACCTTGAGACTTGGTTATCATTAGGTCATATTTGCTATCTTCACCCAGAAGGGCCTTTGCCATGCTTAAGAGTTTGCACTTTAGCTCTGGTTTCAATCTGGGCAATAATTCTTCTATAAAACTTTTTTAAGTTTTGCGTTTTAATAGACACATAATAATTGCACATGTTTGTGGGATACAGAAAAAATAGACTACACTTTTGTTTGCTTGTTTGTTTGTTTGTTTGTTGAGAGAGGGTCTCACTTTGTCACCCAGGCTAGAGTGCAGTGGTACAAATATGGATCACTACAGCCTCAACCTCCTGGGCTCAAACAATTCCCCTGCCTCAGCCCTGCAAGTAGCTGGGACTACAGGTGAATGCCACCACACTGGGCTAATTTTCTATTTATATTTTTGTAGAGTTAGGGTTTCACCATTTCGCCCAAGCTGGTCTTGAACTCCTGAGCTGAGGCCATCTGCCTACCTTAGCCTCCCAGAGTACTGGGATTACAGGCATGAGCCACCATGCCGGGCGGATAGTTTTTTATATGTCTGCAAAGTAGGGCTATTTGGGCTCCCTTCCTCCCTAGTGACTCCATGGTTCTGCAGGAAGAATCAGTTCCCAGTAGCAGGACTTTAAGTAACAGTTAGGGACCTGGCAGAGGATAAAAGTTCAAGGGCCTGGAATCGGATGCCACTTGGTGGCCTGAGTTGAGTTTACTTGCTTTTCAGCGCCAGGGGGCAAGGAGAGTTTGCCTTTTTTTTTTTTTTTTTTTTTTTTGAGACAGAGTCTCACTCTGTCATCCAGGCTGAAATGCAGTGGTGTGATCTCAGCTCACTGCAACCTCAGCCTTCCGGGCTCAAACAATCTTCCCACCTCAGCCTCCTGAGGAACCGGGACTACAGGCGGCATGCCACACTTTGTCCGGCTAACTTTTTTTTTTAATTTAGCTGGGGTTTTGCCATGTTTCTCATGCGTGTCTTGAAGTCCCAGGCTCAAGTGGTCTGCCCGCCTCAGCCTCCCAGGGTGCTGGGAGAGTTTACTCTTTGCTCTACCTATTTCTCTGCATTTAGTGAAAAGCATTCATTAGTACTTGAAACTGGTAAGTATGCCTAGAGAACTAGGAAAGAGACAGAATTAGTATGTCCATAGGAGGAAAGGATAGCCGAGTTCATAGAAAATCCCAGACAAGCTCACCCATAGCAGGCGGTCTTGGGGTGGCCAGGCATGGCTTGGACTTGGAATGAAAGGAAAACTCTCAGGTGTAGGCTGAATTTCTAAACTGGAATAGGTTTGCCCATCATAAGAGGCGGTGTAACCAGAGGGAAGAATCCCCTCATATTTCATCAGAACTGCCTTCAAAGATGCTCTACAGATTCTCGTGCTCATTTTCCATAGAGGCAATCAGTTTGAGCCTCCATGCCACTGATACTCCTTCTGTTCTTTGCCAGACTAACTGTCTTTCTTTCTGAGTCTCAGTCATCACTCTGAAACAATCTCAAAGCCTAATTTGCACAAACATGACACTGGCTGAGTATGAGCAATCTTACCTCTACTCTGAATATCTGCTTTTTAAATGCAGTAACAGAAAGATTCTTAGAGGAGGCAACCCTGAGTTAAATTTTAAGAGATTACAGAGTTAACCCAGGGCCAGGAGCAGTGGCTCATGCCTGTAATCCCAGCACTTTGGGAGGATGAGGTGGGAGGGTCTTTTGAGTCCAGGAGTTCAAGACCAGCCTGGGCAACATGGCAAAACCCCACCTTTACAAAAAATACAAACACGCATGGTGGCACATACCTATAGTCACAGCTACTTGGGAGGCTGAGGCAGGAGGATTGTCTGAGCCCAGAAGGCAGAGGCTGCAGTGAGCTGAGATTGCACCACTGCACTCCACCCTGGTTGACAGAGCAAGACTCTGTCAAAAAAAAAAAAAGTTATCTGGTCAAAGAGACGGGGAAAGGGGAAGTCTATGAAGAGAGAACATGTGTGCAAACGCACAGTGGCCAGAAGTGTCACGGAATGTACAGAAATACTCACAGTTGTTAAGGTCTTCTTTGGCCTTAGCCCCTCTAATGCATGGAGACTCCAGCCCAAGATACATTGCATTTATTCAAATACAGCTTACATTAAATACAAATGACATTTAACTATGATGGGGTTGAGTTGCAGTGACTTATGTCCATAATGTTACTTTTTGTAGGCATGTACTAATTTTAAGTATTCAAGATTTTTTGGTATGTGTTTTGAAGCCAATACATTTTTTTAAACCTCAGGTCTATATAGCACCTGATGAATAAAACAGCATAGTACTGAGCGGTTCAGAGTTACTGAGGTTAAAATTCAAGTTAGAGAACGAAGAGTTGAGAGCAGAGAAGAAAGTGGGAGCCAGGGTACAGGAAGGCTCATGCGCCATATAAGTGACTCGGACTTCATTGCGGCACTGCATAAGGTTAATTATTAGTATTAACAGTATTCATTTACTTAAAAATACTTATTGAGCCTGGAACTGTTCTAGACAAAACAGATAGAATCTCTACCTTCAAGGCACTTACATTATCGCTAGTCATTAAAGAATTTTGATCAGGAGAGTGTCTCCGCCAGACATGCCTGTAACACAGCTCACACTGGGGATGGTATAGAAGAGGGACTGGAGAGGGTCAAGACTGGAAACGGGGAGATTCGTTAGAAGGCTGATGCAGAAGTGAGGCTCTAGACCTGGGCAAGAGTGGGCCATAGAAAGCTAAGAAGAAAAGCAAGATGCGAAAAAGAGAGCTCCGGGATGGGCATCAGGAGATCTGAGTCCCAGTAACAAATCTGCCATTTATATTTCTCCTCTTTCAGCCTCAGTTCTCCATCGGCAAAATCAAGGCATCTTCCTTATTCATTACTATTTCTTCATAGTACTATTATTATTGCATAGAAAAATCGGGTGTATATATTGGGAGGATTACTTAGGGATCAGCCCTTGGCAAAATGGGAAAACAGACAATGTTGGCATTTAGTTTTTATGAATATACCCGTAAAATATCAAGCAATGGGACACACTGTAACTCAGTCTTAGCAAGCTGGGAGAGGGGTCAGGGAGGAGGACTCCCCTCTACTTGGACCTACAGCAAGTGCTCTGTTGATATTTGAAAAAGAATATCAAGGACATTATGTACTGTTCTAACAGCGTTTCTCTTCCTAATAAAAAATGGCTCATATTTCAAGTGATAAGGATATGCTAAGTACAGTTCTAAGCATTTTATGTGCATCATTTCATTCAATTTTCATGACAGCCCTGTGAGGAAGGTATTGTTCTTTTTTATTTTTACTGTTTAATGGACATATTATAATTTTATGTATTCATGGAGTACATAGTGATGTTTCAGCATGTATCCATGTATAGTGATCAGATCAAGGCAATTAGCGTGTCTATTATCTCAAACATTGTCATTTATTTGTGTCCAGGGTGTTCTATCTTCCCTCTAGCTATTTGAAACTATACAATATATTATGTTAACTACAGTCATTTCACATATTCTTATCCATATGTCATAGTTGAGGAAATTAAGATCCAGAGAGATTAAGTAAATCTATAGAGTTACTAAAAGGCAGAAATGGGGTTCAACCCACGCATCTTACTAACAATTATACTGTACCGTTCACAGCAGATAGATTTCTTAGCTAATGCTTCCCTTATGTGCTACAATTGAACAGCTTGAAAAATGGTGTGAGTAGTAATGTGGCCTTCTGAGGGGTGTGGCCTAGACTGAGCATAGGATTTAGTGTTAAGTGGACTGGGATTATAAGGGCTCAGGGAAGTTACAAGACTGAGTTCAGAGCTACAAGACTGAAAATTGTTTCTTAAGATTGTTCTACATTCCAACTTGCCAACATTAAGTCTCGTATAGCAAACATACTTGGGGAACCCACCCTGGTTACCATTCCAAGCCCTAAACTATTCCTGCTTTGCTTCTTAAGCAGCAAAATATAGGGATGGAAGATGTAATAGAATTCAGTGTCTTCCCAATTGTATTTGCGTGTGTGTGTGTGTGTGTGTGTGTGTGTGTGTGTGTGTGTGTGTGTCTGTGTGTTATTTTTATCTATTTTCTTTTTGACAGGGACTCACTGATACTCAGGCTGGAGTACAGTGGCATGTTATTGGCTCACTGTAGTCCCCGCCTTCCAGGTTCAAGCAATTCTCCTGCTTCAGCCTTCTAAGTAGCTGGGACTTACAGGCACATACCACCACTCTCGGCTAATTTTTGCATTTTTTTAGTGGAGTCGGGGTTTCACCATGTTGGCCAGGCTGGTCTCAAACTGCTGACCTCAAGTGATCTGCCCACCTTGACCTCCCAAAGTGCTGGGATTATAAGTGTGAGCCACCATGCCCGGCCTTGTGTGTTTTTTTAAATAGTGACTTTTAAACTAAAAATATCCTCTTTCTTTTTGGTTTCTTTCTACTAAGACTGTTGTTATTAAATTTACCCTCCTTCAAACTTTTCTTGTTTTCTTTTAGATTCCGCCTCGCTTTGCCAGAGTCCAATCGCAGCAATATTGAGGTAGGAATCCAAGCTCTTGGGGTTACCTGCCACTGGAAGAATGAGGATTCTCCTATTACATATAATAGCGAGTTGATTGTTTTCTGTGCCTCTGAGTCCTTGATTTCTCCATAACTGTAGGACCTAACTTTGAAAATCTGTATGTAGCTACTCAACAGTTGAGCCCGTTAACCACTCAAGAGAGAAAGTCTATGATTTACTTTATTTATACAGAAATACTTTTTTCAAAAAACTCAAAAGACTGTTGGGACATTGTCTAATGCTATAAAAACAGGCATTCTCAGGGAATGCCTGTTTTCTCAATAAAATAATCCTCTAGAGTTAATTTATAGACAAGAATCCCAAAGGAATATGTAAATTATTAGGCCATGATTAGGTTTGCTTTTTGAATACTTTCTGCCCATCTCCTAAAATTAGGTCAAGGTTGCCTGTATGGATACCTTTGCGGGAGGGGGGTTCCCAGCCTGGCGACTTCCTGATTGGAAGAGGACACTTGAAATCCCCCTTCCCTCAAGCTTCAGGAAGACTAGCTAAATCACTACCTCATACATCCGTGGATGTCACTATCACAGAGAAGTTAAGTGGATTGTGGTGTCAGAATGCCCTGATAGAATAGTGCCTAGTTCATGGGCAGCACTACGTAATATTAATTATTAGAATTAACAGTATTCATTTACCTACAAATACTTATTCAGCCTGGAACTGTTCTAGACAAAACAGATAAAATCTCTACCCTCAGGGTACTTACATTCTAAAGCAGTGGTTCTCAACTAGTGATTCTCACCTAGGAACATTTGGCAATGTCTGAAGACATTTTTGGTTGACACAGCCTGGGATGGCAGGAAAGATGCTAATGACACTTGGTGGGTAGAGGCCAGGGATGCTTCTAAACATCTCACAGTGCTCTCAACAACAAAGAATTATCCATCCCAAAGTGGCAAGAGTGCCACTCTTGGGAAACCCTGTTCCAGAGTGTGTGTGATTGTGCTTACATGTGTGTGACAGGCTGAGAGTAGCAGGCAACAAACAAATATATACTGTGTGTACTAAAAAAATGCTATAGAAAAAGGGAAATCAGAATGGGGGGCAAGTAGGTAAGGAGCTGGAAATTACAACTTGGGGTATTAAAAGGATTAGCTGAGATTATGCATGCAATGCACTTAGCACATTGACTACATAGTAGGCATTAAATAAACAGTGGCCACTGTTTCCATATTTACAATAACTAGTTATTGTCACTTCTGTGTTTTCATATTCACAATAATTATTTCAGTTACTGCCATTTTTATGTCAACAGGCAGTGTAGCATAATAGTTTCATACATGAACTCTGAGGCCAAACTACAAAAGTGAATTCCCACCATATTAGTCCATTTTCATGCTGGTGATAAAGACATTCCCTAAACCGGGAATAGAAAGAAATTTAATTAGACTTACAGTTCCACATGGAAGGCCCTCCATGGGGAGGCCTCAGAATCATGGCAGGAGGTGAAAGGTACTTCTTACATGGCAGTGGCAAGAAAAAATGAGGAAAAAGCAAAAGCAGAAACCCCCAGTAAACCCATCAGATCTTGTGAGACTTATTCACTATCATGAGTATAGCACAGGAAAGACTGGCTTCCATGACTCAATTACATCCCTCTGGGTCTCTCCCACAATATGTGGGAATTCTGGGAAATACAATTCAAGTTAAGATTTGGGTGGGGACACAGCCTAACCATACCATTCCTCCCCTGGCCCCTCCAAATCTCATGCCCTCACATTTCAAAACCAATCATGCCTTCCCAACAGTCCCCCAAGTCATAACTCATTTCAGCATTAACCCCAAAGTCCACAGTCCAAAGTTTCATCTGAGACAAGAAAAGTCCCTTCTTCCTATAAGCCTGTAAAATCAAAAACCAGCTAGTTACTTTCTGTATACAATGGGGGTACCGGTATTGGACAAATACAGCTGTTCCAAATGGGAGAAATTGACCAAAACAAAAGGGTCACAGGGCCCATGCAAGTCTAAAAATCCAGCGGGGCAGTCAAATTTTAAAGCTCCAAAATAATATCCTTTGACTCTAGCTCTCACATCTAGGTCATGCCGATCTAAGAGGTGGGTTCCCGTGGTCTTGGGCAGCTCTGCCCCTGTGGCTTTGCAGGGTACAGCCTCCCTCCTGGCTGCTTTCACAGGCTGGCATTGAGTGTCTGTAGCTTTTCCAGTCACAGCACAAGCTGTCAGTGGACTACCATTCTGGGGGTCTGCAGGATGGTGGCCCTCTTCTCACAGCTCCACTAGGCAGTGCCCCAGTAGGGACTCTGTGTGGTGGCTCTGACCTGACATTTCCTTCTGCACGTCCCCAGTAGAGGTTCTCCATGAGGGCTCTGCCCCTGCAGCAAACTTTGGCCTGGGCATCCAGGCATTTCCATACATCTTCTGAAATCTAGGCGGAGGTTCCCAAACTCCAATTCTTGACTTCTGTGCACCCACAGGCTCAGCACCACATGGAAGCTGCCAAGACTTGGGACTTCCACCCTCTGAAGCCACAGCCTGAGCTCTACCTTGGTCCCTTTCAGCCATGTTCAACAGAAACAGTTATAAGACAGGAATAGATCTGGAGAAAATAGCCAAAAAGAGAATTTAACCAAGAAGCCAACTGAGATGTACATATGTCTCAGTAGGATAGTGCCTAGTTAATGGGCACTATTCAAGTGGGAGGATCACTTGAAGCCAGGGATTCAAGACCAACCTGGGCAACACAAAAAGTCCTCATCTCTAATAAAACAAAACAAATTAGCTTGGTGGCACACTCCTATAGCCCCAACTATTCATGAGGCTGAGGCGAGAGGTTTCCTTGTGCCTGGGATTTTGAGGCTGCAGTGAGCTATGACCTATCTCCAAAAAAAAAAAGTTAAGATGTTTGCTTGTTTAATTTTAGGAGAGCATCCTGATTTTTAGGTTGAGAAGATTGGGAGCCAGGAGTAACAATATTAATAAGTTTGAAAATAAGTCATACCTTTCATGCCAGACATTGAGGTCTAAAATATTATTGACTAGTGGTTGGTTAGCAACCCCAGAGCACAGCTATTTCATAGATGACAGACTGTAGTCCATGGGAATACATAGCTGACTGCCTCACAAATAGTGCTTCCTGAGTCCAGAGAGCAGGGAAAATGAGCCCAAGTCTTCCAGGAAGATCCAGCTTAACTGCTTAGTATCAACAGCAGAGTGTGCTAACTGTGGCATTTTAGAAAAAATGACGATAGTACGTACCAAGCATTTCACATAATGTTAATGTATTTAATCCTGACAACAACACTACGAGATTAGTAGTATTATCTTTATTTTATGGTTGAAGAAATTAAGACACAGAGAGGTTAAGTAACTTTCCCAACATCATATAGTTAGTGAGTGGTAAAACAAGAGGTAAACCCAGGAAGTCTGACTTTAAAGCCACCCTTAAGCTGCAAAGATGTTCTTATTATTGCTAAGTATATATGATACTCGAAATATGTTTATTGATGAATTGATGTTCATCGTAGTCCATTTAATATCTGAATCTTCCCAAGATCAAACACTTTGCTTAGGTTATACGACTATCATCGTTTATTAAAAATAAATTGGGGTCAGGCCTGGTGGCTCACACATATAATCCCAGCACTTTGGGAGGCCAAGGTGGGCAGATCAGCAGTCAGGAGTTTGAGACAGCCTGGCCAACATGGTGAAATCCTGTCTCCACTAAAAATCCAAAAATTAGCCAGGCATGGTGGCATGTGCCTGCAGTCTCAGCTACTCGGGAGGCTGAAGCATGAGAATTGCTTGAACCCAGGGGGCAGAGGTTGCAGGGAGCTGAGATGGTGCCACTGGACTCCAGCCTGGGTGACAGAGTGAGCCTCCATCTCAAAAAAATAAATAAAATAAAATAAAATAATTTTTAAAAGATAAATTGGGTGTTTTGGGGATGGCATTAGCTTTGGGCATGTTGTAATACAAGAGAACGCCTGTGCTGAGATTCCCAGTAAGTAAAAGGAAATGGCTAATTGGGAAATTAATAATTATTCTTGATTGTCTTGGTAGATATCTGAGCTGCAACGTTTGCTGCCACCATGTGGTCCCTCTGAATTTGCTATCATCAAAATCCAGTGCAGAGGGAAGCAGAAGTGTCCATCCTCAAGAGGGAAAAAGTTAGAAAACCCTGTAATATGATTTTCTACAAACCTAGTATATCCCTCCGAGAAGATCCTAGTTATTGCTTTCTATCCTGATAAGTTCTGGGAAAGTGCACATCCAAACCAGGCACAGTGCTTTAGAAACACCCATGATTGATCAGGCATGGTGGCTCTCACCTGCAATCCTAGCACTTTGGAAGGTCAAGATGGGAGGTTCGCTTGAGCCCCGGACTTTGAGACTTGGCAACATAGTGAGACTCTGCCTCTAAAATTTTTTTATTAAGCTTAGCCAGTTGTAGTGGTGCACACCTGTAGTCCCAGCTACTTGAGAGGCTGAGGCAGGAGGATCTCTTGAGCCTAGGAGTTCAAGGCTGGAGAGAGTCTCTATCACACTCCAGCTTGGGTTACAGAGCGAAAAAAGCCTGATTTGGCAACTGATTCTATTTCCTCTTTTATTTTAGGTCTTGAGGTTTGAAAATATTCTGTCCTCTATTCTTCACTTTGGAGTCCTCCCACTGGCAAATGGTAAGGGATTATTGAGAAACAATGTGGCTCTAACATCGGCTAACATCTAACATCTGCATCAGCTGCACTGGGGATTGTTTGGGACTTTCCAGCCTGAAGCTTGTACATCTATCATGTTGTAATGAATCCAGGCCAGCATCAGAATTTGCAAAGTTTGTACCATCAATGACGTGGTTGCACAATTAGTTATTCTAGGTCAAGCCCAGTTAGCAATTGTATTTGCAAACTCAACAAGACTGGCTAATTCTGGTTGAGTTAAAGAGATTAAAACCACGCTCCTTAGGCTCAAGCCTGTAATCCCAGCACTTTGGGAGGCCGAGGCGGGTGGATCACGAGGTTAAGAGATCGAGACCATCCTGGTCAACATGGTGAAACCCCGTCTCTACTAAAAATACAAAAAAAAATTAGCTGGGCATGGTGGCGCGTGCCTGTAATCCCAGCTACTCAGGAGGCTGAAGCAGGAGAATTGCCTGAACCCAGAAGTCAGAGGTTTCGGTGAGCCGAGATCGCGCCATTGCACTCCAGCCTGGGTAACAAGAGCAAAACTCGGTTTAAAAAAAAAAAAAGAATCTCCTTCCAGTTAACTGGAAATGAGATCATTTTCCCTACAGGATATTTATGTTGTTCTTATGCAAGGACCCTTAACTGGATAGACACAGTTTTCATGAATGACAATCCTGGGCCTTCTCCTGGCACAGCAGTTGTTCACCAACTGTAGCATCTTCAGTCTGGCGCAGTGAAAATATTTTTTATATTAGACACCAAACGTTCTCAAGACTCACTAATTAGGTATTTTCACAATATACATTGGGCAGTTTAAAAATGGACAGCATTTATCTGCTGTCCAAATGAACATAATTGTAGGTGCATTTTTATTAATCATGGATTAATGAGCAATTCTTCCAGGAAAATTCTAAGGACATTCATTATCAGAGAGAATGCAAACGTGGAACCAGAGAGAATGAAAAGATCAACTATTAAAAAGCTGTCTGAGCTGGGCGCGGTGGCTCACGCCTTTAATCGCAGCACTTTGGGAGGCTGAGGCAGGCAGATCACTTGAGGTCAGGAGTTCGAGACCAGCCTGGCCAACATGGCAAAACCCCATCTCTACCAAAAATACAAAAAAAATTCGCCAGGGATGGTGGTGGGCACCTGTAATCCCAGCTACTCAGGAGGCAGAGGCAGGAGAATTGCTTGAACCTAGTAGGCAGAGATTGCAGTGAGCAAAGTTCGTGCTGTTGCACTCCAGCCCGGGCAACAAGAGCAAAACTCTGTCTTAAAAAAAAAAAAAAAGCTATCAGTCAGTCTCTTTCTAAAAAGTTTTAGAAATCACGAGGTTAAGAGATCGAGACCATTGTGGTCAACATGGTGAAACCCCGTCTCTACTAAAAATACAAAAAAAAATTAGCTGGGCATGGTGGCACGTGCCTGTAATCCCAGCTACTCAGGAGGCTGAAGCAGAATTGCCTGAACCCAGGAATCGGAGGTTGCGGTGAGCCGAGATCCTGTGCTTGTCCCCAATTATTTTACATCTTGTTCTATATTTCAGCAAAATTGCAGCAAGGATTTCCTCTGCCCAATCCACACAAAATTTCATTCGTCAATTCAGATATTGAGGTTCTTGAGGTAAGAATGCAAATCTCACCTCTTAACTGATGCATTTCTTTTCATAGCAGATTAAGCCTCCTCCTGTTTTGGTTGTTTTGGTTGTTGTTGTTTATTTTTGCCCTGCTTTGCTTTTTCGCAGACCAAGGAATTTTATAAACATCTTTAACTCTTGAATAACAATTAACAGAAAGCATTTACAATTGAGTTTAAAAATCAGACCAAGATCAATTTCACTTAGCAGCCAAATTCACAGTATAAGAAGATGCCCTTTAGCTTGCTTTATTTTACTTATTCCATAAGACAACCTGTAAGGCTGGGATTATTAGTCCCGTTTTACGGATGAGGAAAGTAGGACTCAGAGAGAAGCAGCTCAGGCAGCTGGAAAGGAGCGTGGCAGGGACAGGACTGACTCTTCCGATTCTCCCAGTCAGATGACTTTTTCCTGAACCAAAGACACTCCTCTGAGTTCAGGGATCGAACTGTTTTCTGGCTAATCTTAAGAATTAACTTCAGAATACCTTTTTTGCTTCCTTATTGGCATTGTTGTTTGTTTAGGGAGGTGGAAATATGTTTCTAAAGAAATTCTCCAATCCTGTACAGTCCAAGGGTTCCCCAATACCCAGGCCCAGGACCTGTCCGGGTCTGTGACCTGTTAGGAATCCAGCTGCACAGCTGGAGGTAAGTGGCCGAGGAGTGAGCATTACTGCCTGAGCTCTGCCACCTATCAGATCAGCAGCAGCATTAGATTCTCATAGGAGCACAAACCCTATTGTGAACTGCGTGTGCAAGGGATCTAAGTTGCATGTACCTTATGAGAATCTAACTAATGCCTGATGATCTGAGGTGGAACAATTTCATCCCGAAGCCAACCCCCAATCCCAGTCAGTGGAAAAACTGTCTTTCATGAAACCTGTCACTGGTGCCAAAAAGGCTGGGGGACTGCTGCCCTATGCTACTGTGCATGCCCTCTCACCTCCCTGCTTCTCCTGACTGCTTCTAAATAGCTAAGTCACATCAGGTGACAGTACTCCAAAATGGCCTTTCCTTTGTCTGGGGTGTTCACAAAGCAGGGCAAGGGTAGAGGAGGGCCTGACTCTGTAGGACCTGGTAAAGAAACCATCTCTTAGACGGGCATGGTGGCTCTACTTGTAATCCCAGCACTTTGGGAGGCTGAGGTGGGTGGATCACTTGGGGTCAGGAATTTGAGACCAGCCTGGCCAAAACGATGAAACCCCATCTCTACTAAAAATACAAAAATTAGCCAGGTATGATGGTGCACACCTGTGGTCCCCACTGCTCAGGAAGCTGAGGCACAAGAATCACTCAAACCCAAGAGGCGGAGGTTGCAGTGAGCCGAGATTGCGCCACTGCACTCCAGCCTGGGCAACAGAGTGAGACTTGGTCTCAAAAAATAAAAAATAAAACAATAGAAAAAGAAACCATGTCTTTCTCTCCCCTCAGACAAACTCTGACATGCCCAAGGTTTGACATTATCTTCATTGTCACATTCTTTTCAGGGTTTCCTTTTGATTTCCACCGACCTGAAGTATGAAACATCCTCAAAGCAGCATCCAAGTTTCCATGGTTGGGAAGGTCTGAACCTGATAAGTGGATGGTGGAGGGGGAAGTCAGCCCCTTGATTGCTGGTTTACAATTCACCCAGGCAGTAAATGGTCCTTAATCCCACAGCTACTGTAAACCCAGAAGGGGAAGACACTACACACTAGAATTGTAAAGCCCTTCTGAATTGCTTAGGCAGAAAGTTTTCTTTCTCAAGCCTTCAGGAACCTAGATGAAGGCAGACTGTGTTAAAGGGCTAGATAGAGGTGTCTGAATGTGAGTGTAAATATGTGCCTGTGTTTATGTTTGTTTGTTTGTTTGGGACAAGAGCTAGGCAGGTACTTCTGACCAGGTGGGTAAGAAACTGTAAGCCTGTATTTGTATTGGTCATTCTCAGTGGAGATCCCTTAGGTCCTCTGTGGGGTTTCCCCTGTCTGCATATTGGATTTAACATTTTATATTCACTGTTACTGTCTTCTGTGTTTACTTAAAATTGTTTTCTATCAATTTCAATCTTGGTTTTTTTTTTATTTGAGAAATATCCTGCCCTGAAGTTTTTAAAAATAAAATAAGACATACAAAAGCAAAGAGACCGAGGTTGTACAGATGTCAAGGCTTGATTTTCAAGGAGAATTCTTTACCTCTGAAATCTTTCCAAAAACAAACAGGGTAACCACAGGAAACTCTAGAAGTTGCGTTACTTCAAGTTTTAGGATTTTTCACCCTCAACAGATTCAATGAAATGGCAGTGCAGAGTAAACCCAAACAATCCGTAATTGATAATGATATTAATGTGTCAGAGCACCTAATCAACAGGGAGAAACCGGGGCAGAAGAGAAGAAAAGTGGAACCAGTGTAGATAATGTAAGAAATGAATGGCAACCACAAACCGTTTTTGCAGCACTTACAGTCTGGTGGGGGAATGGAAGGAGGAGTATGGTGTATGGAGTACTTGCCATGTGCCAAGCCCTGTGCTGATTACCCCTCTAGTGTCACTTCATTTAGTCTTCTACTCAATAAAGAATTACAATCCCATTTTAGAGATGATGAAACAGATAAGAGGGGTTAATCACACCAAGCCAATAAATGGCACAAATAGAAATTGAATCCAAGTCCTTCTAATCCCAAAGTTGTAGTTGTTTACATGAGGCAGGACCTGAAACTGAAATCACTTAAAGCTCGCTGATCAATACGAACAAGAGACATGGCGTATACCAGCATGATCCAAGAGGTCTTGATCATCAAAGGAGGCTAGACTGGGAGTTCTGGTGATCCATAAGAGTTGTGGTTTGATCATTTTGTAGTACATGTCTGGTCATAACTGATGCACCCACAAGTGTTTGTTGGAATAAATGATAAGCTGTCAAACTTCATTCTTTGGGATTTTTCTTTCTGACAAAAAAAAGTTATTTGATGTATGTTGATTCATTCTGAAACATTAATGTTCAGCTATGGTATTTATTCAAACAAGTTTTCTCTCTCAGCTGCCGGCTTATCTGTTTCCCCTCCCTGCTGGGGGTATAAACTCCAAGCTGATGCACTGGACCTGACCCAGACTCGAGGTGTTTTCATAAGCTGCTGAAAGCATTTCCAAAACAAAACTAAAAACTCCTGGATTTCGCTTAGCTGTAGCTTAGAGGAAATTGACTAATAAAGATCCCAAAGGGAGGGAGGGGAGAGAGAACATGGGGAGAAATGCCAGATATATTATGCACCTAAATTTAAATAAATAAATTTAAAAAAAAAAAAAAGATCCCAAAGGGAAACACTAGAGGACAGTATAACTTAACCAGAGGAAAAACATTGGCCTGAAGAGTTTTGAGCCTCGACGCTTGCCGTCGCTCATCCTGCTGCGTCGCTGGTCACGCCTGCGCTGTGGTTCTTGGAAGGCGGTGCTCTGAGAAGCCGGACAACGCGGCGGCGGCTCTTCGAAGCGGAGCTCGTTTAGTTACCGTTGTCGCCGCCATGAGTCGCAACTATAATGATGAGCTGCAGTTTTTGGAAAAAATCAATAAAAACTGCTGGAGGATCAAGAAGGGCTTCGTGCCCAACATGCAGGTGAGGCGGAAGAGCAAATGGTTGGGCCTTCCCTGCTCCTTCTCCCGCCCGGCCAGCGTCCACCGCGCCTTCCGGACCTCTCTCGACCACTGGGTCCACCCATGTCCCTTGCAAAGTTTCCCTCATCCCCTCCTTCTCCCCTCACGGTTCTGGGACCGCCCAGCCTGTATGTCCGAGATGGAGACTTGAGGGCTCAGGACCTCCCGCCAGGAGAGGTCCCCGAACCACGAGGACAGCCTAAATACGATGTGTATAGGGAAGCCAAATAAATACGAAATTGGGGTTTCCAAAGCGTTTTCATAGATTAGTCTTGTAAACGCTTAGTTTACGTTTCTGGTCTTCAGAAACTTCAGGTGGGACTCCAAGGTGGGACAGCCAGCCCCGGGTCCCATTGCTGGGACTGGAATTCACCTCCTCTGAGTCATGCTGGTTATTTATATAACGTTTACAGACCTTTGTTCACTGAACCAAGTTTTCAGCATTCAGTCTTTCATGTTGGTTTTTAATGCTTTAAGCGATGTCATTTCTTGCAGTAGCACAGGGCAGGGCTTTTTTTAATACTCACTTCACGGAAGGACCTCGAGCATCTGTCAGTGACACAGCTTCCTCTACCCACCTAGGAAGAATCTTAGCCAGGACTTGATGCCTTGTTCACTACTTTTTCCTCTGACGTCCCAGATGGAGACTTGAGGGCTCAGGATCATCAGATAGTTGAAAGCCTGGGCTCTGTATCTTTCAGGCTTTATCACCATCTGTGTTCATACTTTTTATTAATGTGAAAAAAGAAAACATTTGTGAAGTTTTGCAACTTATTTTTAAATAGTTTTTGAAATCCCTGAAGGTGCCAAGTCCGTCTTGGTAAACAGTTCCCAATAGCCACTCTACTCTTTTATTCAGAATCAAAGCTTATTGAGTTTCCCTTGTTGGCAGGTCACTTACACTGAGAGGAGAAAAAGCCCACAGAGATTAATATATGTTCTATTTCCTGTTTGGCCACTTCTTTGTCTGGAAACCAATACCCCTGAAGGAAGGAATAGAAAATCTAACTTGGGGGCAGCGCAGTGGTTCATGGCCTGTAATCACTTTGGGAGGCTTGGCAGGAAGATCCTTTGTGCCTAGGACATCAAGACTGGCCTGGACAATATATTGGGACCCCGTCTCTACCAAAAAAAAAAAAAAAAAATTTTTTTTAATTAGCCAGGCGTGTTGGTGTGCACTATAGTCATAGCTACTTATGAGGCTGAGGCAGGGGAATCACTTGATCCTGGGAGATTGAGGTGGAGTAAGCCATGATCATGCTAACTGCACTCCAGCCTGGGTGACAGAGTGAGTCTCCAAAAAAAAAAACCACACATGACACGATTATCTATAGGATATAATAGCACAGACTGTCACTGTCTGGCAGGTGTTCTCACTGAACCTTTGATGCTCACGCTGCTGCTCATTTTATCTAGGGGCAAGTCTAATTTTGCTTGGCAGTTTTGGGTTAAGTATGTGTGCAGCACTTTACTACCACCTTTCCTTTGGGAATAGAGACTTGAAATGTTGATGCTTTGCTCTTAAAACACTATTAACGTCTAAGAATGAATTGTGCTTTCATCCTCATGGGAACAGTGAATTTCACACTGATAATCATCTCTGTTACTGAATCTTCAGTTCTCCCCCAAGATCCACATGTTGCACTAAAAATTTCTTTTTGTTCCCTTAAAATGCTCCCTTCCCATCTTTATGTCATTTTTGTCCGTTCCTAGATGTTCTGCTGCACCAGTGAATGTCTCTTGTATTTAAAGAGCCAGCTCAGCAGGATCTCTGTGAAGCCTCTCCCAGCTTCCTCCTAGACTGTCGAGCCACTTCCTCATCAGATTCTTTCATAGCACTGTGTACTTACATTATGGCACTTGTCTTATTACACTCTGATATTCTTATGAGAGTATAAGGGCTGTATTGTGCACTAGAAGCTCCTTGAAAGCAAGATCTTGTCATATTCTTTGTGTCTCCCCTAGTGCCCAGGACAGTGCTTCATGAATAGTGAATACTCAGTTAACGTTTGGTGAATTAATAAATGTGACCCCTAAGAAATTGTACTGGAAACATTTTCCATCAATGGGTATTGTTATTTATGCAGTGGTGATGAAGTCATCTTTCTGATAAAAACTACATTCAGTTGATTAAGTGTTAAATCTTTGGTTCTCCATTACTGAACTGCTTCAAAATGTTTGACCTGTGATAAAAACGTTCTGCTCTTTTTTGTTACTTAAATATGTCGTCCATTGCCTTTTGTGTTCCACCTCTATTGTCAAGCTTTAAAATTATATAGTTTTTTAAAAATTTATTTATTTTTGGAGACCGAGTCTTGCTGTGTCGCCCAGGCTGGAGTGCAATGGCACGATCTCTGCTCACCGCAACCTCCACTTCCTGGGTTCAGCAATTCTCCTGCCTCAGCCTCCTGAATAGCTGGGATTACAAGCGCATGCTTGTAATACTAACTTTTGTATTTTTGGTAGAGACAGGATTTCACCATGTTGGTCAGGCTGGTCTCGAACTCCTGACCTCATGATCCACCTGCCTCCACCTCCTAAAGTGCTGCAATTATAGGCGTGAGCCACAGTGCCCGGCCTATAGATTATTTTTAAAAATTATATAGCTATCCCAGCACTTTGGGAGGCCAAGGTGGGTGGATCACGAGGTCAGGAGATCAAGACCATCCTCGTCAACATGGTGAAACTAAAAATACAAAATACAAAAATTAGCTGGGCACGGTGGCGCGTGCCTGTAGTCCCAGCTGCTCAGGAGGCTGAGGCAGGAGAATTGCCTGAACCCAGGAGGCAGAGGTTGCGGTGAGCCAAGATCGCGCCATTGCACTCCAGCCTGGGTAACAAGAGCGAAACTCCGTCTCAAAAAAAAAAAATTATATAGCTAATAGAAGTGAGCTCACAACTACATACTGCATGTGAAATTTTTCTTCTCACTATTTACCTAACTAGAGATTTGTAAGTCATCACTACAGCACAATAAAGTGTAATTTACTATTGGCTTAAACACAGAATAAAAAAGGTCAGATGACTTCATGAGAACTTGAGATTTTTATTCATCTGGGTTTTTTTTTGTTTCTGTTTTTGTTTTTCAAAAATCCATTGATATTTTAGAAGCCTGAGGATTCAGACCTTTGGGCTGTGTGAGAGCATAGTTGGAAGACTTCTCTTAATCACACAGAAAGATGACTGATCTGCTAAATTTTTAAATGTAGCTTTGAGAATGTGAGAATAAACAAAACAGTTTTTGAACATTGCAACATTTTTCTTAAGGTATATTTAAGATGGGAGCTGCTCATAGTCTTTGATAGGAAGTTTTCTACATGCTTAAAGTAATGTGAAAGTGTTTTGTAAAGAGTAAAGTACAGCAAATATTGCATACAGTATATTCTATCCAGTACCTGTGCTTGCCATACATGTATTCAAACATTGTTTTTCACTTTCTTTGGTACCAGGTTGAAGGCGTTTTCTATGTGAATGATGCTCTGGAGAAACTGATGTTTGAGGAATTAAGGAATGCCTGTCGAGGTGGTGGTAAGTATATTAGTTTCCCTTGTGTTAGTATAGTAGTGCCTTCCCTGTGGCCTGAAAAAGTGGTAACTCAAATAATTGTAATTTTAAAATCTTATCAAGGGGTGATTACAACTTAATATAAGACCAAAATAACTTACTTATTTGTGATCACATGGTTAGATGGTTGGCGTTACAGAAGGATTTGAAGCTGGGTGGCACTTGTTTCCTTGAACAGTAATCATAGCGAGACCTACCATTTGTTTTGCACTTACTATGTACCAGGCATTTTACTAGGTGCTGTGCATAGATTATCTCATGTAATACTTACAGTAACCCTAATAGGAAGATATTATTTCCACTTTAGAGATGTGTAAGTCAAAGCTCAGTGAGGTTAAATAATTGTAATTTGCCCAAGGTCACATAGCTTTTTGGTGACAGAGCCAGAATTCAGATCCAGGAGTGTCTGATTTCAAAGACAGTGTTCTTAACCAGTACGCTAATGACTGAACTTCAGTGATTTCATCATAAAATCATTACAGCTATCTTGCAGGGCTGCAGCAAGGTTTAGAGATAAAACGCATAAAGCTTTGTGATAATCTAATGGTGATGATACAGAAAGCATCTAATGTTAGCCCTTTCATTTTCTAGATCGGCAGACTAAAGCCCTCCCTCCCCAACCAGGGTATGCTCACTTGTCTAAAATAACACAGCTGCCAAGTGGCAGAAATGGAACTGCAGCCACATATCCCTTGTTGCAGCTCTTCCACGTAGCCCTTCTTTGTCACTTAGAATAAACCAGCATTGATTTTCTTTATAAATAATGTGAACTACTGAAATATTTTTTAGAATATTAATAACATAAAATTCGGTAGTTATATTTTACATCTCCCAGTTCAACATTTGCAAGCAACCTTCTCATGGTATACGCAGAACATTGACAGCACGTTTGTGACTGTCTTTTGTGTGTGTGTACTTCCTTCTTGAAGAAGCTCTCTTCCATCTGCATCTCAAACATCCTTCTAGCCTCTGTTGTTTAGTAGCCCTAATGACTACCTCTTCATGTTTTACAGTCTAGAAAAATGAATATAATTAATGCTAAAAATCAAGTGTGTCGTCTTTTCTAATGCTCAATTTTTGTCTTCAGGTGTTGGTGGCTTCCTGCCAGCCATGAAACAGATTGGCAATGTGGCAGCCCTCCCTGGAATTGTTCATGTGAGTCGGAGTTCAGAGTTTTAATCATTTATGTTTCTCAAAGTCCACTGAATGGATGAGTGGCCATGCCTGATAGTGGTGTCATTTAGACAATGACCACTGGACAACCAGCCATAACCATGAAGCCAGGCTCAGTGGCTCATGCCACTCCCAACACTTTGGGAGTCCAAGATAGAAGGATTACATGAGCCCAGTAGTTCAAGACCAGCCTGGGCAACATGGCAGGACCCTGTCTCTACCAGAAAAAGCCAGGTGTGGTGTCACATGCTTGTAGTCTCAGCTACTCAGAGTGCTGAGTGGGAGGATTGCTTGAGCCCAGGAGTTTGACACTGCAGTGAGCCATGATCACGCCACTACCCTTTTAGCCTGGACAAAAGTGAGACCCTGTCTCTAGAAATAAAAAATGAAAAGAAATAACCATGGACCTAAAGAAATAATTGAATCTGGGTGGCATTTTAGTTTCTGGATGCCTTTGGCTAGAATCTGTAAGTGTTCAAGAGCCTTTGAGGTAGTTTTTATGTTTTCTTGTTTCTTTATCATGGTAACATTATTCCTGGATCAGTGTACCACGTTTGTAAGTTTCACTGTGGCTCCATCAAGAGGATCACTGAAGAAGAAATGGAAAGAAGTTTAAGGGTGAGGACTGAGGGGAGGAAGAAAGGACACCATAGCTATTCATAAGCCCCCACCACAGTCTAACACTCATATTCTATCATTAGAAGTAGATGTTGAAAATGGATCTATTCGGCAGACATTTTTGAGGTCTTCTTTATACCAGTTACCATGTTGGGCACTTGGTAGGGGGAATGAAATGGTATGGCTTGTGCATATAAGGAACTTGTTAGTGTCTGGTGTCTCCACATATGCTCTGTTTGACTTGCATTCTTCCTGGGTCAGGTACCTTTTCTAGGCTTTATGTGTAGAAAGTCTATAGTCTTTATACCATCAAATGGATTACATTTGTCTGTGATTACTTAAACTAATGATCTATATAAATCAGTTATTTTCCTCCTCTTAACCTGACAAACCAGTTTGTCAATGTCTTAAGATTATTTTTTATTTTTATTTATTTATTTATTTTTAAATTTTTTTCTGAGATGGAGTTTCGCTCTTGTTACCTAGGCTGGAGTGCAATGGCATAATCTCAGCTCGCCGCAACCTCTGCATCCTGGGTTCAAGCAATTCTCCTGCCTCAGCCTCCCAAGTAGCTGGGACTACAGGCACACGCCACCATGCCCAGCTAATTTTTGTATTTTTAGTAGAGACAGGGTTTCACCATGTTGACCAGGATGGTCTTGATCTCTTGACCTCATGATCCACCCGCCTCGGCCTCCCAAACTGCTGGGATTATAGGTGTGAGCCACCCCGCCTGGCCAAGATTATTTTTTAAATGTAATAGTACATTAAGCTTAGTATTTGTTACTCCTGTATCGTGTTATTTTGAGGCTTTTCTGTTTTGGATTTCCTTAATCAACATTTAGAACTTATAAAAAGGTTTTTTTTCTCACCGTATTTAGCTTTGTGATTAGGCGTTCTTAATGATTTCCATCAATAGAGATTTTGTGAAAACAGTCTTGATTTAGGAAGCTTCAGCCTGCAGCTTGAGAATCAGTGTCAGGTCTATCAGGCAACCAGGTGGCAGGTCAGTACCGCTATATTTATTTTCTAATTCTGTTTCAGCGATCTATTGGGCTTCCTGATGTCCATTCAGGATATGGGTTTGCCATTGGAAATATGGCAGCCTTTGATATGAATGACCCTGAAGCAGTGGTATCCCCAGGTAAGGTCACTGTGCATGTCTGCTGTTAAGTGTGTAGCTTTTCTCTATGGGCCACAGCCTTTGGGAAACAGAGCACTTCTTCCCATATGCATGAGTCAATCTCACCATGTTCTGTCATTTTTTTCTTTGAAATTTACTGCAAGTATTAATTGTGGATACTGAGAGGCTATTAAAACATCAAGCAAAGCATATTTTTATTGAAAATTTTGGGAGGCTTCTACCAAATGTCACAGTATTAAGCAAATTGGCAAATTTTTTAAATCTTTGTAACTCAGTTACCTCATGGACAGTTTGCGTTAATGACCACACATTATTAGATTAGATGTGTTCAGCTCTGTAAAATATTTAGAACAGTGCTAAGCACATAGAACATATTCAGTAATATCATCATTGTTATTCAGTGAAAACATTGAATATGCAGAAGGTTGTAGACACCTTCTGCTGTGGTTATGGGGTGCTTTCAGTGAAAACGTTCTACACCAGAAGTAATTGCTGTTAAAGAGTGTCAATTTATAAACGAAGTTTAAATGACACCTTGAGAGTTCTGCTTCTAGCAGTGGTGGACTAGGTTGTTCCAGACCAATCCCTTGCTGAAAATAATGAGAAAGGCTAGATAAGATATATTTTTTTAAATCTGTTTGAAGACACAGAAATCTGCTAAGGCAATAAGAATTTGTGTGGTCAAGATCTAGAGGAAAAGAAGAAAAAGGTCCAAATAGGTGAGCCCTACATGTAGGGCTGTTCTGAGGTGACTGCAGATTTCATTCAGTAAGAATATACATTATTTGAATGATCCAATAACAAACTTGACACCTTGACCTCTAATATATATATGCGGTTGTGTGTTTATGCCGTGCAGCCAGGCAGTGCAGAGTTTACCAAAGCTGACCACATGCTGAGCCATAAAGCAGGTGTCAAATTTCAAAGCATTGAGGTCGTATAGACCGGCAGTTCTCAAACTTTTTGCACTCAGGACCACTTTAAAAAAATTATTGAGGATTGAGCTCAAAGACTCTTATCAATGTTTACCTTATTAGAAATTAAAACAAAATTTTAAAGACAGGAATACATAAGTACATGCTTCATTATACATTAGAACAAAGATGTTATGTCGTATAGCTTTTGAAAAAAATCTCACTGTACAGTTGTGGGAGAATATGAATACAATAGGCAAATAATATCTTAGTGTTATAAAATGAATCTTATACAGACCTGAAATGGTCTTCCCCCTAATGCCACCCCAGGGTCTCTCGACCATACTAAAGAACCACTCATGGGACACCCCCAGGGCCCAGCCTGGAAATGTGTGAGGCCAGGTGGCCAGTGACCTGCAGAGGGCTCCAGTGCCTGTTCCCAAGAGGGAGAAGCCCACCTTCTGTCTTCTGAGAAGCTCTGAGTCTGGGGTCCTGTTCTTTGAGGACCATCCTCATCCCCTCCCCAACATGTGTACTTGACATTTTCTAAGAAAATAGATCTTAAATGTTTTCACCAGAAAAAACAGAAGGGAGGTAACTGTGAGATCATGAGTATGACAATTAGTTTGATTGTGGTAATTATTTCTCAATATATTGAGAAATATATGTACATTGTGTATACCTAAATATATATACATTGTGTATACCTAAATATATACAGTTTTTATTTGCCATTTATTTGCCAGTCATCTCTCAAGCTGGGGGTAAATGGTTTAAAAAATGCTTACAGGCTGGGCAAAGTGGTTCACACCTGTAATTCCAGCACTTTGGGAGGCTGAGGCAGGAGGATCACTTGAGCCCAGGAGTTTGAGAACAGCTTAGGCAACATGGTGAAACCCCATCCCTACAAAAAATATAAAAGTTAGTCAGGTGCGGTGGCACACACCTGTAGTCCCAGCTACTCAGGAGACGGGAGAGAATTGCTTGAGCCCGGGAGGTAGAGGCTGCAATGAGAGTTTAGCCTAGGTGACAGTGAGACTCTGCCACAAAAAAAATAAAAGTTCTTATGTCTAAAAATTTGAGGTTACTGTTAATGTCCTTTTTGAATGGAAACATGTAGCCTTAAATGTGCAAATTAGGAAAGAAGAAAGGCTGGAATATCAGTGATCTTAGAAAATTACAGAAAGAACAACAAATTATACCCTAAAAAAGTAGAAAGAATGAAATAATTAGGAGTAAAATTAATGAAATGTAAAGATATATGATAGAAAGGGCCAACAAAGTCAAAAGTTGATTATTTGTAAAGACTGAAAAAAATCCATCAACTCCTGACAGCAGTAGTCAAGAAAAAAGAGAAGCACATTTTGATCTCTTGTTTTACATGTTACTCATTGTTCATTGCTGCCTCCCTGGCCCATAAAGTGCCTTTAGTATTTATCTTACTTTAGATTATCTTGGTGTCATCAAGCTTTACAGACAACCGCTTTGTTGTCTACTTTTAAAAATAGTTATCTTTAAAAGAATGGGTATCCACAAAGATATTCCTCAAGAAGAGCAACCCCAAGGCACATAATCGTTAGATTCACCAGGGTTGAAACGAAGGAGAGGATACTAAGGGCAGCCAGAGAGAAAGGTGAGATTACCCACAAAGAGAAGCCTATCAGACTTACAGCAGATCTCTCGGCAGAAACTCTACAGGCCAGAAGAGAGTGGGGTCCAATATTCAACATCCTCAAAGAACAGAACCTTCAGCCCAGAATTTCATATCCAGCCAAACTAAGCTTCACAACTGAAGGAAAAAATAAAATCTTTTATGAACAAGCAAGAACTCAGAGATTTTATTACCACCAGGCCTGCTTTACAAGAGCTTCTGAAAGAAGCATTACACACAGAAAGAAACAACCAGTATTAGCCTTTCTAAAAATATACCAAAAAGTAAAGAGCACCAACATAAAGAAGAATTTACACCAACAAATGGATAAAAAAGCCAGTCAACATCAAATGGCAGTAACCCTAAATTTAAATTGACTGTATTCCCAATCAAAAGACACAGCCAAAACCCAACGGCATGTTACATCCAGACCTGTTTCACATGCAAGGATACACAAAGACTCAAAACAAAGGGATGGAGAAAGATTTACCAACCAAATGGAGAGCAAAAATAAATAATAAATAAATAAAAAGCAGGAGTTGCAATTCTTGTATTGGATAAAATAGATTTTAAAGCAACAAAGATATAGTGGTAAAAGGATCAATGCAACAACAAGAGATAACGATCCTAACACCCAGATAGGAGACTTAGATTCAATGAGACAGAAAATTAATAAGGATATCAAGGACTCGAACTCAGATCCAGAACAAGTAAACTTAATAAATATTTACAGAGCTCTCCACTTCAAATACACAAAACATACATTCTTGTCAATACCACATCACACCTACTCATTAGTTTAAATGAAACATTGATTGGCCATTATTAATACCCAATTTTTTTTCAAAATAAAGCAATATTTCCATTTACTCTCCCTCTTTCTTCCTCTCCTTTACTTATTTTTTTTTTTTTTCTTTCCTTCTCTCAAAAAAAAAGAAATCAACTTGTAAACCTCTAGATCCAGGTCGGCAATGTCTCTTTCATTGCTTGATTTCCTTTCTTCCCTTCCCTCCCTCCCTCCCTCCCTCCCAGCTTCCTCCCTTCCTTCCTTCCTTCATCCCTTCCTTCCTCCCTACCATCCTTATTCCCTTCCTTCCTGCCTTCCTCCCCCCCCCAAAAAAAGAATGGGTGTCTTTCTAGCCCTCTATTAATGGTGAGAAACTGAAGCTAACAGTGCCTGACCTCCTGATTTTGCTAACTTTTCTCTATTTTGTAGGTGGTGTCGGGTTTGACATCAACTGTGGTGTCCGCTTGCTCAGAACCAATTTAGACGAAAGTGATGTCCAGCCTGTGAAGGAGCAACTTGCCCAAGCTATGTTTGACCACATTCCTGTTGGGGTAGGATCAAAAGGTGTCATCCCAATGAATGCCAAGTAAGAGCACACATTTCCAGTAAATGGAATGGGAGAGATAGTAACCACATGACCTTCAGCTTCCTTTCCAGTGCAGTACACTTGAGACGTGAGGACTGTTCAGTTACTTTTCAGGAAGTAGTAAGAACTGTTTTTTCAGCAGGAGGCTCAGTGCATTTTTTGGAGACATTATTCAACTGATGTTCTAACAGCCTTTGACAGAGTAGTATTTATAATAAAATCATATCCACCAATGTTTCTCAAGCACTTTCTATGTGTAAGGCACTGAACATTGATTGTATCATTTCATCTAGACAATAACCCTATTATTTTCCCTAACTTACAAGAAAGAAAACTGAGATTTAGAGAGGTAATAAGCTTAGTGCCAGGCGTGGTTGGGTTTACAGAATCCCAGCACTTTGGGAGGCCAAGGCAGGAGGATTGCTTGAGTCCGGGAGTAAAAGATGAACCTAGGCAACATAGTGAGACCTTGTCTCTTAAAAAAAAAAATTAGCTGGGCATGTGGCTTGCACCTGTCGTCCCACCTACTCAGGAGGCTGAAGTGGGAGGACCCCTTGCAAGTCCAGGAGTTCAAGGCTGCAGTGTGTTGCGATGTCAGTACTGCACCCCAGCCTGGGCAACAGAGTGACCCTGTCTCCATTTTTTTTTTTTTAATCTTAGTAGGTGATATCAGTATTCAAACCAAAGATTCTTTGACTTCAGAAACTATATTCCAAATCCCACTGCCTTTTGTCATTAGCCTATTTAACCACAACCTTCCTTTTTGAATGATAGCAAGATGTATCATTCAAAAGATTGGTAAGTAGAGAATTAAATATAATGCTATAGTGTATCTCTCAGATGGCCATAGACTTTACCGTGTCATAGCTTATGCAAAGCAGTGTACCCTAAATTTTGCAGAGTACTTCAGTAGCAGAATAGTGTGCTAGGTATGTTTCTTTGATATTTTGCTTTATCCTTCAAATTTATGTGAATTTTGCATTTGAATCAAATGTGTATATAATAGGAAAAACTTGTTTTTAGCTGTTACGTTACAGCTGTTAACAGCTAAAAACATGTTTTTCCTATTACGTACACATTTGATTCGAATGCAAAATTCACATAAATTTGAAGGATAAAGCAAACTCCTCCCAACCAAAACACACACACACACACACACACACGAAGTAAAATCGATATACTTGAAAGATACTTGGTCTGTGATTTCGCGTGATCCCTGACATGTAGCCCCAATTTGAAAAGCGTACTTGGAACACACAAATAAATTTCAAACATCTTTGCAAACGTTTTACATAGGAATTTTGTCCAAATAATACTGAAATGAGGCTACTCTGGGCACAGTGCCTATGGGGTAGCCCAGGTCTGCAAGGAGCCGTAAAAAATAATAAAAAAAAAATATTGAAATGGGCTGTCATCTGGGGTAGTGGGGAGAGAACACTGAGAAGTGTAGTTTTTCCTGCCAGTGTTTTAGAAGACAGCTGGACCTTGGATGAAGATTAAAGTTTGTTCCCACTAAGGGTTTAATGTACCTCAGCTTCAAAATGGAGGTGCAGTAAGTCTCAACTTTTGTGATGATGTGAATAGAGCTTAAAATTTAACCTGTGTTGGCCAGGCGCAGTGGCTCACACCTGTAATCCTGGCACTGTGGGAGGCCGAGGTGGGTGGAACATGAAGTCAGGAGATCGAGACCATCCTGACTTAACATGGTGAAACCCTGTCTCTACTAAAAATACAAAAAATTAGCCAGGTGGCGTGCACCTGTAGACCCAGCTAGTCAGGAGGCTGAGGCAGGAGAATCGCTTGAACCTGGGAGGCAGAGGTTGTAGTGAGCCAAGATCGTGCTACCATACTCCAGCCTGGGCAACAGAGAGAGATTCAGTCTCAAAAAAAAAAATGTTATCCTGTGTTGTTTGAGGAATTCTAGATGCCTTCATTTATTTGAGCATAATTCTTTATAAATGGTTAATCAAGTTGTGTAGCTGGTTGAATTAGTGATAGAGAGTGATAGCTGATTAAGGTTACAAAGTTTTGGGTCTTTTTTTTTTTTTGCCTGCTTAATCACTGCCTCATGCAATTCTGGATCAGAGAGGCAAACTGAATATAAAAAAGACTGGAAATTAACAAAGAGCCGTGTAAGTGTCAAGTAAACTATAATCATGTCTAATAAGGTATTTACTATTTTATATTGCAATTATTTATGTGACTGCATTCCTCAAAACTAGTTACTAAGAGCTTAAACTTTGTATCTGACTCAAGGAACACCGGTAATGTCCAGTTTTCCTCTGCCCTTTAAAGATGTGGTCATCCTTAGGTTTTGATCTGCCTTTGCTGTGAAATGACTAGCACCTTTTATACTCACCCAGAGACTTGGAGGAGGCCTTGGAGATGGGGGTGGACTGGTCCTTAAGAGAAGGGTATGCCTGGGCTGAAGACAAAGAGCACTGTGAGGAGTATGGAAGGATGCTACAAGCTGACCCCAATAAGGTCTCTCCAAGGGCTAAGAAAAGAGGCCTTCCTCAGGTAACTCACTTTGGAGGGGCAACATGTTAATTTTTTCTCATATTTTATTTTTGTTGGTGGAAAAAAATCTCTATCTTACATTTAGCAAACATATTCCCTCCCAGGTTTCTTTATGGTATATCAAAAAATACAAATTTGTTTATGCTTCATTTTTATTAAAAAAAACAAACAAACTATCAGGGCTGGATGTGGTGACTCACACCTGCTTTGGGAGGCCATCGAGGAAGGATTGCTTGAGGCCAGTAGTTCAAGACTAGCATCGGCTACATAAGGAGACTTTGTCTCTAAAAAAATTTTTTTAATAAAAGCACATGCCAGTAATCCCAGCTGCTCACAGGCTAAGATGGGAAGATCACTTGAGCCTAGGAGTTTGAGGTTGCAGTGAGCTGTGATCACGCCACTGCACTCCAGCCTGGGTGACAGAGCAATCAGGAGCTTGCAAATTTTCATAAAATAAATAATGAATTAGAAGTGAATGGGAGAAAAATAGAATATATTTATAAGGTTTATATGTTAAAATTATATATATATATATATATAAACACACACACACACACACACACACACATACTTTGACAGTCTACAAATGGTACCCATGAGATAAGAATATACTAGATATTTGAAATTACAGCTAGTTATGAAGGCTTTGCCACTAATTCACTGTGACACATGGGCATGACTGTCTTCTCTGGATCTCAGTTTCTTTTAGAAAACTGGGATGGTTAAAACCAGGCAACCTCTAAAGACTCTCCCAGAACTGACATTCTCTGGTTCTCTAAACCATCTGTTGATATTAGCTCTAGTTGTGGTATATGTTCTTTCAGTTATAGATAACGGTGGATGTCCATGAACTCATAGGTGTTTTAAAAATCATTTGAACTTGGATCTTGTCTAAGTGTCAACATTCATCAACATTATCCCAAAATTTGACTCTTTATGATGTTTAAAATATCCCATGAACCATTTAAAAGCTTGATTTTTTTTTTATGAAGCTTTTTTCTTTAAATTAATTTGTTTTACTCTTAAGTTCTGGGATACATGTGCTGAACGTGCAAGTTTGTTATATAGGTATACATGTGCCCTGGTGGTTTCCTGAACCTATCAACCCGTCATGGGGGTTTTAAGACTCACATGCTTTAGGTGTTTGTCCTAATGTTCCCCTCTTCTTTCCCCCCCTATCCCCCAACAGGCCCCGGTGTGTGATGTTTCCTTCCCTGTGTCCATATGTTCTCATTGTTCAGCTCCCACTTACGAGTGAGAACATGCAGTGTTTGTTTTTCTGTTCCTGTGTTTTTTATATGTGTATACCAAGCATATAATGATATAATAAAATTCAGGAGCTAGTCTACGTTATTTTGTTGTGTAGACTATTGTTGTGAACGAGGCACTTGTACAGCTTAGGAATTTTTTTTTGTTACTGGAACAGTATTTGTTATTTTGCTGTTAGTTTGTTTTTATCTTTTTGGTTTTTAAGTAGATTAAAACAAAAACTAGAATAAAAACTATCTTATCAGACATTTTTACGTTTGCAGTTGGGGACCCTGGGAGCAGGCAACCATTATGCAGAAATCCAGGTTGTGGATGAGATTTTCAATGAGTACGCTGCTAAGAAAATGGGCATCGACCATAAGGGACAGGTGTGTGTGATGATCCACAGTGGAAGCAGAGGCCTGGGCCACCAAGTAGCCACAGGTATATTTTAGACTTCATACCAAAATGTGCATTTTATGGGCAACCAGAGAGAAATTCAAGAGAACAAAAACCCTGAAATATACTGCATGGGTTTTATCCTGAGTCCTCAACAATTAAACACAAATTAACTTCACTGGGCTATAACTTTGTCTAAAAAAAAATGAGTATAATAATTATTTTATATGAGATTATCATGGAAAGTTAATAATATATGTAAAGCACTTAAATCGGTGTCTGACAGTAAGCATTCAATGAATGTTAGTTGCAGTTATTGTTACATTTACTCTTAAGAGTTACTATCTGGCCGAGAAAGAGCAAGAACATATTTAAAGAGTGGAATTTATGAAGTAGGCATTCATTTAGCAAATGATGTATGTATTATATACCTGCTCTGCAACATTAAGTGTTATGGTGGATTTGCTGAGGAAATAGGCAGATACTTTGTACTCAAATTGTCTCATGAAGTAAAGGTCATGTTCATTTAAAAGGAAAAGTAAATATTAAAAGGTAGCAATTAATAATATAGGGGAGACAAAACACATTTAGGGAAGATTTTGGAGATGGCTTCATGGATCCAGTGTTGAGCTCTGACAGTCCACAGATGGTATCCATGAGATAAGAACAGTTTGGACAATTACACACAAAGAACATTGGTGACAAAAAGGCAGCATGAACAAAAGCAGGAAGCAGAGAAATAATGGATAGGTCCTTTTGGATAGCTTGGAGGATGTGCGAAAGAGTTTATGCATCAATGAAAAGGTATATAGACACCTGGAAATTGCTGTAAGCTTTAAATTTCAAGTTACAGATCAGCCTCTAGTCCATTTTATTGTGTGAGAATTTAAAAATTTGTGCCAGCCTGACCCTTTAGACTATTTAATCTAGCAGATGTGTGAAGTGTGTCGACTAGTATTCCAGAGCATTCCGCTGAGTGCTTCTCTGCACTTTGTCATGAATTTGATTAACCATGGTGGTACCACAATGTATTTTACTACTACTATTCTCATTCATTCAAATACTGAGAAAGGAGTAGTTGAGATCATATTGTGGCTATTTGTTTACACATCCCATTCTCTTTCAAGTTCCAAGAGGACAAATGTTGACTTCGTGTCTCACATACTGTCACTGCACTCTTAAAGATTCTCACATTCATCTTGACCGAGCAAACAGAAGAACGCAGAAACAAAGGGAAAGTTGTCTTTCACTTGCTTTCTTGTGGAATGAGTTTGAATGTAGCCTATCTTTCTGCAGTAAATCTGAACTCTTCATTTAAGGGAAACCTAACTGGTTTGGACTTTGCTGCTCTCATTCCAGATGCTCTGGTAGCTATGGAGAAGGCCATGAAGAGAGACAAGATTATAGTCAATGATCGGCAGTTGGCCTGTGCTCGAATCGCTTCCCCAGAGGGTCAAGACTACCTAAAGGGAATGGCAGCAGCTGGGAACTATGCCTGGGTCAACCGCTCTTCCATGACCTTCTTAACCCGTCAGGTAGAGTTGAAGTTGCTTTTCTGTCTGAGTCATTCATGATGAAGTTAAGTGCTTTAAAACATAGTGCAGTTCAATCAAAGCCTATGGTGTTTGGTTTTGGTGTCCTCTTAAAGCAAATAGAGTATCAGGCATAAGGAATGAGAGAAGAGAATCAAAATTATTCCTAGAATTTGTCTTGAACAGCACAGAGAATAGGAGTACCATTGACTAAGATTCAGAAGGCTGGGGAAGAAGCAATTTTGAAGGGTGGGATCAAAAGTAGCCAGGCAGCTTTTTAACCAAAGATGAAAATGATGTGGTGGCATTTGCCTTGTGGTCTAAAAGACAGCTTTTGTCCTTTACGTAAAGATAATCTTACTGCTATTTTTGAATGTTTAAATCTTTCACCCCCTTCAGAACAGACTACCTGAAATCAATAAGATAAGTCACGAAGAGCTGAAGGTAGGTCTGAAGTTCTGGCTGCTTGTAACTTCTACATTTTCTCCTAGGCTTTTGCCAAGGTCTTCAACACAACCCCTGATGACTTGGACCTCCATGTGATCTATGATGTTTCTCACAACATTGCCAAAGTGGAGCAGCATGTGGTGGACGGAAAGGAACGGACACTGTTAGTACACAGGAAGGGATCCACCCGCGCGTTCCCTCCTCACCATCCACTCATTGCTGTTGATTACCAAGTACGTAGCCCTGTGTTTGTGGTTTTAAGCAGTGGGAGTATGATTTAGATTGTTGCAAATCTAAATTACATTTAAACCGAAAAGCAGCAATTGTGAAAATAAAATATTGTGTCACCCAAAACCGAAAAGCAGCAATTGTGAAAATAAAATATTGTGTCACCTGTGAGAACAGTGATTCCCAATCTTCTCTGAAGCAGTAACTCCTCCCCCCATCATTTGTGCTTGCAGTGTCCCCATGTGCTAACTAGAAAGTGCCACATGAAGTATATATTACTCCACTACTGTGAATTGAGGCCTTTGAATTAGTGGAAGACAGGAGTAACTCAGTTACAGAAGACAGTAAACTCAGCCTGTTTCATTCCTCCTATCGTCTTGGTGTCTGGCTGTGGTGGAGTTAGACCCCATAGTCTGCTTGCTCCTTTTACAAATGAGAAACCCAGAACAGAAGAAAATCCCTTTCCTCAGGATGGTTGTTCTAGTAACACTTCCCTACACTTTTGGATTTCACTTTGCTCTTACTCTGACTCTTCTGCATTTTTACTGGTCCTCACATTTTCGCTCTTGTCCTCTTCCTTCACTTCTGAATTATCAAAGTACTGTCTTAATAATTGTTTACAAGCTGCATGTTTAGAGGTCTGGGTTTCTCCTGCAATTCTACAGTGCAGAAGAAAACTTAAATTTTTTGCCTAAAAAGCTTATGCTTTTCTGATTTTTAACATGTTTGGCTTATGTGCATCCTCAGCTCACTGGACAACCAGTACTCATTGGTGGCACCATGGGAACCTGTAGTTATGTTCTTACTGGCACTGAACAGGGCATGACTGAGACCTTTGGAACAACCTGTCATGGAGCGGTAAGGAAAACAGAAACTTCCTTAGAAATGTTCTCTTCAGTTTAGCCGTTGTTTTCCATTTTGACTGGTAAACGTAGCCGATTGAACAGTAACAGAATTGAGACTTGGGTCTATCCTGTCTTGTACTTCAAATTGTTCCCCATAATGTATGCTATTTAGTGAACTGACAGGGCCACCTAGTGTCTCTACCTAAGTGATATCTGGTAGGGTTAGGGACCGTTTCTTATCTCCACAAGTCCCAAAAATCCAGACTGGGAAATTATCACACTAGCTGAGCTTACTGTAACTGGTTTAAAGTGATGGAACTTTAACTGAAGTTAATAGCACAGTTTATCTCAGTGATTGACTGGACCTGCTCATTTGTTTAATTTGCCCCTTCCTATTGTGTAGGTCTACTCAGGATTGGAAGGATAAGCCCTATTTGCAAATTAGAGCCAATGTGCAGTCTACACATACACACACATTTCAAAACACTGCCTCTCATCTTCTAAGCCCAGGGGTCAGTAAACTCTTTCCATAAAGGGCCAGACTATGAATATTCTGGCTTTGGGGACCAGATAGTCTCTGTACCAGCTATTCAGCTATGCCATTTCAGTGCAGAAGCAACCTTAAGCACTGTGTAAATGGGCATTGTAAACTATTTGAGACCAGGCATGGTTGCTCACACCTGTAATTATAGCACTTTAGGAGGCCAGAGCAGGAGGAGCACTTGAAGCCAGGAGTTCAAGACCAGTCTGGGCAACATTAGCGAGACACTGTCTCTACAAAAATTTTTTTGATCAGCCAGGTGTGGTGACACACCCGTAGTCCTGGCTAAGGCAGGAGGATTGCTTGAGCCCAGGAGATCAAGGCTGCAGTAAGTTATGATTATGCCACTTCACTCCAGTCTGGCTGACATAGGGAGACCCTTTCTCAAAAAACAAAATAGTTTCTTTTAAAAAGCAGATGGTGGGCCAAATTTGGTTCATCCACTGTAGTTTGACAGCCCCTTTTGTAAGCCATCCAGAGTGTTGACCCAGTGTTGAAATGGGAAAGAGAAACTGTCTAGAATACCTTCTCATAGGACAGACCTTCACAAATGTATCTTAGCCCTACTTTTTTCTCCGATTGTTTCTCATTTCTAGCTGCCTCCCAACTCCTAATTTTAACCCAGTGGTTCTCAACGGGAAGATGAACCCCCTGCCCCCATGGGGACGTTGGCCATTTCTGGAGGCATTTTTTTTATTGTCACGGTTTAGTGGGAGTTGTTATTGGCATTTTAGGGGGTAGAGGCCAGGGATGCTGCCCTGTCCAGGACAGCCTCCCAACAAAGAATTCTGTGGTCCAAAATCCAAAAGGATATAAGGAGGCTTAAAACAAAAGGCATGTTATCAGTTTGATAAAGTAAAAAAAGATGGGTTTTTAAGCTCCTTTTTAGTTGAGGAGAAAATCAAGGAAAGGGCGTATAATCTTAGGGTTTAAAGTAAAGTTAATTCCTTTCCCATTCTAGGGCCGTGCATTGTCCCGAGCAAAATCTCGACGTAATTTAGATTTCCAGGATGTCTTAGACAAATTGGCAGATATGGGAATTGCAATCCGTGTTGCTTCACCCAAACTGGTTATGGAAGAGGTAAGTGAAATTTTGATAAATATTCATTATTCCCCATTTGTAATTTATGCCAGTCTACAGAGATGGCAGTTTGGGGTATTACTAACAGAAATTGTTTGGGTTATTTATTTTATGACCTCAATTTCAGCGTATCTTTTTTGGTTTATCTTATTTCAGTTTTATATTTTCTTTTCTTTTGGTCAGAGTTAAATTACGAGCCAAGTCCTTAAGAACGATTTTTCACTATTTATATATAATCTTCATCTCCATATTAAGCTTTTCAAAAGTAGTTTGAGCTGACTCTTGCTTTTATACAGTTGTATACTTAGGTTTCAATTTGAAAGCAAGTTTGAAAAGGAAGGCATAAATGTTTGAGGAAAGTTTTATTGATTCACAGAACAGATTTTGTTTAAATTCTGTATATATGTGTATACATATGTACATATTTAAATTAAAAGCAACATAATTTCTTTCTTAAAGATTTAAGAGAAAAGAAGGCCTTCCAGAAATTCAGTGCCCTGACATAGTTATTACCTTATCTTTTAAGAATACTTATTATTGTCAGCTGGGTGTGGTGGCTAACACCTATAATCCCAGCATTTTGGGAGGCCAAGGTAGGTGGATCACTTGAGGTCAGGGGTTTGAGACCAGCCTGCTCAACATGATGAAACCCCATCTCTACTAAAAATACAAAAATCAGCTAGGCATGGTGGTGGATGCCTGTAATCACAACTACTCAGGAGGCTGAGGCAGGAGAATCGCTTGAACCCAGGAGGCGGAGGTTGCAGTGAGCCAAGATCATGCTACTGCACTCCAGCCTGGGCAACAAAGCAAGACTCCATCTCAAAAAGAGAAAGAAATACTTATTGTCATACTTTTTTCCTAAATGCTTTTTTTAAAGCTAGTCATGATTATAATTAATACACATTTTGTAGTTCTTTTAAAAATTTAGCACAATATTATGAAATTGTTTGTCACTTTTTAAAATCATTGCTGAATATTCTACCAGAGTATCTTTCTCCCTGTAGTAGACATTTAAGTAGCTTTCAAATATTTGCTACTATAAATTAAATTTTCATGAGTATCTTCATGCATGAAGCTTTTTCCAGTTGTTTTAGTAATTAGAACAAAGTCTCAAAAGTGGAATTACATGGTGGCTCATGCCTGTAATTCCAGTACTTTGGGAGGCCAATGCAAGAAGATCTCTTGAGGCCAGGAGTTCAAGATCAGTCTGGGCAAACATTAGCCAGGTGTAGTCCTGTCTACTCAGGAGACTGAAGCTGGAGGATAGCTTGAGCCCAGGAGTTTGGGGTTACGGTGAGCTATGTGATTGTGCTGCTGCATTCCAGACTGGATGGCAAAGCAAGACTCATCTCAAAAAAAAAAAAAAAGTGAACTACTGACTCAGAGTATGACAGAGACTTATTTTTAAATAACTATTAATTTTTCCCCTAAAGAATACATGTTTAATTTAAAAGATTTGGAAAATGCAAAGAAGAAAACAGAAAACATTTAGAATTCAATCAGCCAGGAATAACTACAGTTAACATTTGGATTTTTGGTTGTTTGGTTTTGTTTTTTTCACCTGCAACACGATTGTTTCATTCACTCATTCAGCTAACACTTACTCAACATCTGCTATAGTTAGGTACTTTTCTGTGTGCTAGAGATACTGCAGTGGACAAAAGAAACATGAATCCCTTCCTTGCGGAGCTTTCCAAATAACAAAATATACAGTGTGTTAATGACCATACAAGTTCCGTGAAATAATAATGAAGCAGGGAAAGGGGGTAAGGAAAGGTTGAGGCGGGGAGGGACAGTTTTAAACAGGTGGTTGGAGAAGACTTCGGTGAGGTGACAATAGAGCAAAGACCTGAAGAGAGAGAGGAAACGGGCTACCTGGGTATCTTGTGGTGAGCGTTTGAGGCAGAGAACAGCAAGCACAAAATCTGAGCCGAGGTTTCACCGGATCAGCCTAAGGCCAGGCATGACAAGAGCAAGCCAGAGGGAGATGAGGTCAGAGAGGTAGGGGGCGCCAGAGCATTTGGACTTTTGCTTTTACTCTAATTAAAAGGAAAACTTTTGGAGGATTTTGAACAGAATTGTGACGTGATCTGAAAAATGTGTTTTTATGTTAATGAGAAGAATCTACAAGAGAAATTAACGATGCGGGAAAGAGGGAGGAAATTGCTGGAGAAGTGTCCTTGAATAGAGATAGCGTCTGATGTACAAGTTAATAAATAGGGTTGGTCTTTGCTAGGAGCACAAATAATCCATCCTTTATAAAAGGAGAGAAGAGGCTGGGCACAGTGGCTGACATCTGTAATCCCAGTACTTTGAGAGGCTGAGATGGCTTAAAGCCAGGAGTTTGAGACCAGCCTGGGCAACAAAGCAAGACCCCATCTCTATAAAAATAAAAAAAATTAGCCTGTAGTCTCAATGACTTAGACGGCTGGGGCAAAAGGATCAATTGAGCCCAGAAGTTGGTGGCAGCAGCAAGCTGTGATTGTGCCTCGACTCAACCCTGGGTGACAGAATAAGACCCTGTCAAAAAAGGAGAGAAGGTTTAGATACAGATATGTGGGGAAGATAAAGTGAGCGGGTTTATGAATATTCTGGCTGCTTCTATTTTTTTTTTCAGTGTATTACATAGTAACATCAGCAAGTGACAGTAAGGATCTGAGAAAAGGTATGAAATACTCATCTAGGAGAGAGAGAGAGAGAGAGAGAGTCATTGGCCCGGTGGAATTTTATCTGATTGCCAGGAGCTAGAATCAAGAAATGCTAGGGAGTGATTGAGGCTCCCACAGATAACTGTAGCCAAAGATAGTTTGTGGTATGATGTAATGACTGCAAGATTCAAAACTGGGAGTGCCTAGGGAGAAAGGGAGAATAGAAACAGCCATGAAAGCCAGAAAACAACCACCTGTCCCACTTCTGGGACCAACGGCATGACCTGGTTTGGGAGAGAAAACAGCTACCACTTCAGAAAGTTGGAGGTGAAAGTGATATCCTCAAGAGAGATCCATGTTTCAGTAAAACAAGAAGGTGAAGGTAATGTTAAAGGGAAGGAGGGGATTTTGCTCCTTCTGGAAGGAGTTCTACAGGCCACAGTGGGAAGGTTTCAGACATTGGAAGGGAATGGGAGATGGGATAGAAAAGGGTATTATGTATAGAACAGTACGGGAATCAGTCTGGATGGCCTAAGCTTGTATTGACAAGTGCATGTGTGAGGACATTAGTGCTAATAATGGTGGCAAGGCAGTATGGGTAGGATGGAAGGGTGGGAATGTGACTAGAAAGTCATGGAAATTGTGAGTGTAGTTGCACATATATACACACATATACACATGCACACATACAGTTTTAGTTTTCTACAAATACGATTTTTATAACTTACTTTGGAGGTACTAGATATTCATTCTAAAATTTTTGATAACTGCATAAATATATAAAGAAAGAAAATTAAAATTGCCAATAATTCCACCATCAAGAGATAATTACTACTAACATATGATGGTTTCGTGCATTTCCTTCCAGTCAGGTACTGGTGTGTGTTTTATTTAATTACATTTACACATTTTTTAGTTATACAAGTAATGCATGTTCTTGGGAGACGTTTCAAAAAATACAGAAAAAAATATAAAACAAGATGAAAGTGTTTTGGAAGCTACCACTGACCAACATCACGCTTACTCATTTTTTAAATGTTTGCTAACTTGATAGGCAAAAAAACTCCCTGTATTTTAGTGTGCATTGATTTAATCACAAGTGAAGTTTGGTGCTTGTAAAGACTGCATTTTCAGTGGACTTGTACAATGTTTAATTCCTCTCCTGCAGGCTCCTGAGTCCTATAAGAATGTGACAGATGTGGTGAATACCTGCCATGATGCTGGAATCAGCAAGAAAGCCATTAAACTGAGACCAATTGCTGTGATCAAAGGATAGAACCTTGGACAGAAGGGCCACTAGACACCGGCTCTCTGTGAAGTGGAAGTAGACTGACATGCTCTTCCAACGTCAGACTTAAATCAGGACAGGTTCCAAAGTGTGCAGCTGTAACTGCTCGTGCCAAAGTGGCTGACGGGGAGGCTGCTGCTTTCAGGAGCCAGTGCTTGTAAAATAATCTTCTGGGAAGAGGAACCTTTGGAAAGGGAGAAATATACCTTCTCCTTGGTTGTTCCACAGAGTTTTAGGAAAATCTGTTAGGGGTGGGTAGGTGTCAAGAAACTGCCTTACGCGGTCATTCAAGTCTTTAGCCGTCAGACGGAAGTTCGTTACGCCAAGCCCTGTTTACATTCCGAGAGGTGTCATGAAGAAAGTTCTATTAAATATTGTTTGGGAATGTTTCCTTTCGTCCCTTGCTTTGTCAGTTTGCCCATTCAGACATCACCCCTGCACTGAGCAAAACCCTAAATACCCCTCTTACTTGGAGAGCACCCAGAGGGTTTTAATCGGGCTGTTAGATGAATGGGTAGTGGGACACACACTGAAGAGAGAGTATGTGGAGGTCTAAGGAATAGGGACCCAAAAGACATAATAGTATTTCCTAGCCTTGCTGCCTTTCTTACTCTAAATACAAGGCAGGGTTTCTGCTCATTTGCAACATGGCATCTGCTGGTATCTCATTAATTGGGCCTGGCTAATTTTTTTTTTTTTAAGTTTTGTGCAGCAGTGGCAGAAAACCCTCATATAAGACTGAGTATCTTTACATTTTGTGGTTGAATTATTATAAAAGCATTTAATGACCAAAGCTGTGACATTAACAGCTGCACTGTGTTGACAGGTTGACCGGTCTTGTGCCACGTAATCAGATTTCATATGTACGGTGACACCTCAAAGATGTTAGAGGCTGCAGTTGAAGGTTAATAAGGCTTTGGTTGAATCTGAACAGTCAAATTGAAAATCTTTTATTTTTTTCCTAAAACTTACCACTCAGTTTAAGATAAAACCCCCCATTGGAGTATCTTCTAGATTTTGCTATTTGGAAGGGTAGAGAAAAGTAGAATTCCTCTGGAAAATGTATGAAATAACATTTCTTTAATCTGAGATCTCAATAACTTAAATTTTTTGGCTGGTGGAGTCTGCAAGATATCAATAAACATAACCTCCATAGTATAGTTATGGCCCGGCCACTGTGTAGACACATAAGGAAGCAGAGCTAGCACCTACGTGGGCAACATGGTGAAACCTTGTCTCTACTAAAAATACAAAAAATTAGCTGGGTGTGGTGGCACACGCCTATAATCCCAGCTATTTGGGAGGGTGAGGCAGGAAAATTGCTTGAACTTGGGAGGCAGAGGTTGCAGTGAATCGAGATCACGCCACTGCACTGCAGCCTAGGCAAAAGAGCAAGACTCCATCTGGGGTGGTGGGAGGGAATACCACACACTGAAAAGTAGTCCTATTTTTAACTCAGTTTTGGATTGTTTGTGAAGGCCATTGCTTGGGATAACAAAAAGGGAGGAGGAAGAGAAACAAGAACGGATACAAGAAAAAGAAGCAACAGCATAAGAAATGAAGACAGGAAAATGATTAGGAGTAGAAAAACTAGAGGAAAGGAAAGTACAGGTAAGGGAATCAGGAGGCCTATTACACCTTTCCACCTCTCCCTGATAAATGAAATTTGATAAAGTCCAAGACTATCTCAGAAAAAACAAGCAAAAAGATACACAGTCACCCCCAAACTTTATTAATGACACAATGCTGCCACTGATGCCTGGCTTAGGTGCCAGCAGGTGGAGGGCACCTTCCAGATTCTGCAGGAGAAGCAGGGAAGACTCTTTGTTCCAGCTGCGACTCCGCTGTTGCCACAGAGGCCCACAGTACAGCACCCGCAGCTTCCTACCCAGCCCAAGCCAGGCCAACCTGCAGTTGGAAGGCTCCTACCAGCCTTCCTGGCCCCCAGACTTGCTGCTGCTGCCACCACTACTGCTGATGCCAATACCACTGCTGTTACTCTCAAAGCAGTGCCCCATCCTATAAGGCTCTTACTTCCTGGCCACTGCCACAGCCCTGTCCCTGCCCCGGTGGCAGCCAGCCGCCCTCCTACCTCTTCAGCACTCTGCAGTGTCCATCACTGCCACCAATTGCAGCGAGGTGAGCCGTGGTGCCATAGGATCCAGCTTCCAGTATGTGGCAGGTGGCTCTTCTTTCTCCTGGCAAGAAACAGCTGGGTGGGCAAAGCCAGAAAAGGCTAGAACAGGACGCAGAGAGTGCTAGTGTTAGAGCCCTACCTTGTCATGCTGGCCACTGGGTGGCAGGGGCCGGTTTCAGCTAAGGCACTCACACCCACCCTCCAAAGTCCAGCCTCTCCTTTGGCCCAAGTTGGCCAGGAACTGGGGCCTGGAGCCACCATGGTGCCTGGGCTTCCCACTCCACAGGGACTGCTGGGCCCACCCGGCTGCGCTCTGGAAGCAGGAGCAGCAGAAAAACAGCCCCAGCCAGCCCTCCCCACCAAAGTGTAGGTTCCCATTCCCGAGGCCTCCACCACAGGGCTCTGTCACCCCGTGGTGTCTGCTACTGTGTACTCAGGGTTCCCAGACCGTCTCCACAACACAGAATGAGAGCACAGGCCTAGGATCCATGGCAGATCTGGGCGCCCTGCTGTGCTCAGGATTTTCATGGAAACGTTGTGTGCCCGCCGCACAGGAGATGGCCCTCTAGAGTCTGGTCCGGAGTCGGGGGAGTGGAGGACCGCTCCTCTCTCAGAGACCACCACTGTCACTGACACCTCCGCCACCTGCCGCTGGCAGTGCAGCCCCCAAAAGAGTCCCTTACCCACCACCATCAGTTTGGCCCCAGGTTAGTGCCACCACTCCATCCCCTACTGCCAGCAGTGTAGCACCTGATGGCAGCCCCCAACCTGCCCCTGCCTTAGACCCTGCAGCCCCCGATGGTGCCCACAACCCTCCCCCTGCCATGGGCAGCACTGCCCGGGATAGCACCCCCACCCCATTCCCTGCCATGGGCAGTGTAGCCACAGACAGCGCCCCCAACCAGACCCCTGCCGCAGGCAGAGATGTCCCCACATGGCGTCCATCCCGCTCCCACCGCAGGCAGTGCAACCCCGGATAGCACCTCAACCTGCTCCCCGCCGGGAACAGTGCAGCCCGGGATAGCACCCTCAAACCCACTCCCTGCCTCCGACAGTGCAGACAGCACCCCAAACTCCTTCCCCACAACGGGCAGTGCAGCCACGGATAGCGCCCCAAACTCCTTCCCCACCTCGGGCAGTGCAGCCATGAATAGTGCAGGTAACCCCCGACAGCACACCCACCTAACCTGCCCGTTCCACAGCCAATGTGGCCACGAATAGCACACTCACCCATTCCTTGCCAGGCAGTGCAGACCCCCATAGCACCTAACCTGCCGGCCAGCCCTCTCAACTCAGGCAGTGTCTCCGGCTCCAGTAGCGCCTCCCACCAACCCTCCATCCCCTCTCCACAGGCAGTTTGGCCCCCAGTAGCGCTCCCAACAACCCCCCAACCTCTGCCTCAGTGTAGTCCCTGATATCGCCCTCAACACCCCCTCCCTGCCGCCAGCAATGTGGCACCCTATAGTGACCCTAACCTGCTCCCTGCTGTGGGCAATGCACCCATGGATAGTGCCCCCAGCCAGCCCCCAGAAGCAGGCAATGACACCCTGGATATCACACCCCCACCCACTGTGGGCAGTGTAACATCCGATAGTGCTCCCAACCCACCCCTCGCCGCCAAGCACTGCTGCACCAGATAGTGCCCCCAACTCGTCGCTGACAAGGACACTGCAGCACCTGATAGCTGCCCCAACTCGCCTCCCACCGCGGGCAGTGCATCCCTGGATACTGCCCCCAAAATGCCCCACTGCTGCTGGCAGCACAGCTTGGAATAGTGCCCCAACCCATCCCTAGCCACTGGCAGCGCACCCTCCATAGGGCCCCCAACCCTCTCTCCTCTTCGCAGGTAGTGGCACCCTAGATAACACACCCAACCAGCCCCCACAACACAGGCAGTGACACCCTGGATAGCGCCCACTGGCCATGGCAGGGTGCCCCCAACTCGCCCCCGACGCTGCAGGCAGTGTGCCTGGGATCGCGAACCTATCCTGTCACCTTTTCACCTTTTTGGCTGTAATGTAGTCTACTCTGCTGCCACCAACCACAACAGTGAGGTGACCCACGATACTGCAGGCTCTAGCCTCCAGCGCGGAGGGGTACCGGGCAGCTAAAAGGGCTGATCCAGAAGAGCCAGAAACGGTTAAGTGCCCCCTTAGCATATTTTATATACCAAGGTTATGCAAAGGAAGTTTCTGGACTACATGTTCTGATTGGATGAGAGAAACCTCTATGCTAATTGCACTTTGTTTATCATGTTCTGATTGGTTAGCCTAAGACTTGCTCTCATCCAGTCAGAACATGAAGTAAGGTTCAATTAGAGTAAACCTAGAGGTTTTCTCTCATCCAATCAGAACAAGTAGTCCAGGCACCTCATTTGCATGAACGCCATATATAAAGGAAGTGAAGTGGGGCGGTCAGCCTTTCCAGTCTTTTTAGTTGGCTTGCCTGGCTGCTGGGTGCCTGGCTTACAGAAGGAGAACTAGCCAGCCTCCTGCCAGGCATGCTGGAGGCTGGAGGCTGGAGGCTGGAGCCTGCAGTGTCATGGCTAGCCTGGCTGTAGCGGTTGCTGGTGGTGAGGGAGACTCCAACGCAGCCGGAAAGGTAAAAAGCTGGCGGGTTAGCTTCACCATAGCAGGCCGCACTGGCTGCGGTGTGGGGAGCAGGTTGGGGGCGCCCTGCCATTGGCAGTGGGCACTACCCAGGGCATCACTGTCTGTGTTGGGGGGCAGGTTGTGTGCTCTGTGGGGCGTCGCTGCCCGTGGAGGGGAGTGGGTTGGGGGCACCACCTGGGTTTGCACTCGTCGTGGTTGGGGGCGGGTCGGGCACTATCCCAAGCTGCAGTGCGAGCGGCAGTGGGGCATTTGCGGGCACTATCTGGGGATGCACCACCAGCGGGGGCGAGTTGTGGGAGCTGTTGGGTGCTGCAGTTCCTTTGTCGGGGACGGGTTGGAGGCGCTATGGGGTGTTACACTGCCAACGGTGGGTGGGGGGAGTGATATCCAGGGCGTCATTACCGGCGTCTGGGAACTGATTAAATCGAGTAATTCCACTTGTAGAACTTTGTCTTGAGGAAATAAACGCTCAGTTAAAGATTATAAATGCGTTCATGGGGGAAAAGTGGAAACAGCCTAAAACGTCAAACAGGAGGGGAAGGTAAAATAAACTACACGACATCCTTGGTAGGGAATATTAACAGTTATTCAGTATATTTTTCATGGTTGTAATAATAGACATTTTAAGACAGACTACAGT